GTAGTATTTCACAAGTATATAGCAACAACTGGAAGCTTAAAAGCTTTCAAAAGTATATAGCGAAAACTGGAAGCTTTCAAAAGCTTGAAAAGGTAGCGATTATGATATATACAAGGAAAGAAAGTAAAATTGTTTCTATAAATGAAATATTCTTCTTTTAATATTTTCGTCGTAAACTGATTTTTCTTCGTTATAGAACTTTTATTTTAATAAATAAGCAGGGAAAATATTTCATCTATTACAACAAAGTAATTAATCTGTGAGAAATAAAAAATCATGCTTTTCATTACCCTAAAAAGAAATTTTTCGGCGATAATAAGATACATGATTTTTCTTGCTTTCATTTTTATGAATGAAAAATGAAAAGAAATTTAATGCAACACTTTTCTGATACTCTATAAATTGAAGTAAAAAGTTTTTAACAATTTATGTTACCAAAGCTAAGAAAAAATTTTATATATTAAAAACATTGTTGAATGACGTCAATATCGAAATTGCAAGGCGAATATGTGAAAACTAATTTATCTTTCGATGTCACGAAATGAATCCGGAATCGTAACGAAATCTGATTCCGCAACTAGTGGACTGTATTTGTCGTAAAATCTTGATTACTGAAACGTAGATTAATTCTGAATGATTTTTAACGAGAAGGCTAAGAATAAATCCAATTGTAAGACTGAGATTACTCTTTACTGCGAATTTATTTTATGAGTTGACTAGCCAGTGATAGCCAATCACGATATTTTATTGATGATATTTTATTCGTGAAAATCAAAACACTAATAAGATGCTCAACGCTAGCAATCGAGGCTGATTATACTTGAAAACATAAAACACAATAATCGCAATGGAGCGTGATAAGCATTAGGATTTCTTATCAGTACAAAAAAGTGGACGATAAATACAAGACAGTAAATTTCTTTATATTGACAAAAAGTGCTTTCTTTAGCAAATTATATTTACATAAAATTATTATATTGCGACTGTTTTCACAATGTGCTCACAAAGTGCTCGAGTGACGTTAATAAATATATTTAAAGTAAAATTTTCGATAGACAAATGTTTCAATAGAGATATACTTATGAAAAATATAAATGATGCCAAAGAATTTTTTACATGCGAGTGCTAGTGTTAACTGCCCTGTGAAAATTTTTCAGATTTTAGAGCCATAAACAAAGCATAAAAAAGGAATGTATCTTATTACCTCACCTTTCGCTAACTATGAACAGATTATTTCTCTACTAAATGGAGAACTTATATCATACCTGTAAAAATATTGATAGATCTGACATTAGCAATTCTATAACCATTGAAAATATTATGCTCAAAGAATTTAAAAATTGTCTGTAACTTTTAAAAATATCGTCATCGATAAACAGTTTTATGCAAAACCATAATGAATTTACCATCACTAATTCGATTTATTGCTATTATCTAACAAGTAATACGGATAGAAAAAAAAATGATATAATTCATATGGATTTTTGTTAAATGTTTGACACAATTTGTCATTCTAAGGATTCTTATTCTTTTGAATATCAAATACCAAAAAGTATTAAATCCTCAGGGATTGCTGAGAAATTTCATTCGTCCATTGGTATTGCAGGTGCGACAAACATGATAATAAGACATCTCGTTCAGGATATCAATGAGATTAACTAAATTATTGTAAATAAATGTAATACATATTTGTTATATGTACATACAAATATTCATGCAATAAGTTACATAGCACGTTATGTCAAAAACGTGTTATTAAACAAAAGTGTACAACTTCTGAAAAAGCAAATTACATCTTACAAATTGAAATCATGAATAACATGAGAGCGTGATAGTATTTCCTAAAGAAATATAGTTATTTCTAGTGGAAATATTGAAGACGAGGACGAATTTTATGTGCTTCTAAGAATGGATTACATACAAGTAAGCCTGATGCTTTATCAGAGAATTGCAGGAGAGTGAAACTCCATGAACAAAGCTGTTACGAAATCGGGTTACCATTAGAATGAAGGTTTACAGATAAATTGAGCGCACAGTCAGAACTATTAGAAGATTGAAATATACATAGACAATTGGAACACACATATGGATAATCTGATGAAAATCAAGAAGTTGTTTCGAACTGGAAAACGTAACGTCGATCTTACTATAAGCACTAAGAAACCAAAAAAAAAAAAAAAAAGCGGACGAACCTGTTTTAACAGAAGTGTACTCTGAGAAACTTAAATTATTGTAGGAGTTTAATCTAAAAATAAGAAACTTTAAGAAAGATTTAAGAAATCTTCTCCTCTTAGTGAACCTAATACGAGATTAAAAAGCTACAAGAAATCTTGTAACTTTGAAAGGTGAAAAAATTCGCGTGATAAAATTATGTATGAAAAAATGATGCGGCATGTGAATATGAATCGGGATAAATAATAGGCATGCGAATGTACATAATAACAAATTAATTAAATCTTATACGTATGTACTGTACGATATTGTATCTTTATATCTATATATCAATCAATTCAAATATTCTCAAATAATTTATTTTCGTAAACTATAATAATCATCATTCTAATATTCTAATATTCTAAAATTCCAATATTCTAGTGTTCTAATATTCTAAATATTTTAATATAGTATTCTAATGTTGTTCTAAATATTGTTCTAAATATTCTAATATAGTATTCTAATATTGTTAATATAATCTTCAAATTCAACAAGTCTCTTTACTACAAATATCATATCATTTTGAATTGAACTTCAATTCAACATGTATATTCTATGTTAAATGTTGCAAATGTAGATGTTCGAATATATTTATAAGTCATTATATACTTATATATGATGATAATTACTATTGATTCCGAAGACACGGTCAGTCGTATATTACTTAACTCACGGACACGATATCGCACTTCATTATTTTGATAGAACATTACTTCTTTTTGTGCTGATTTTACTGAATATTACGTGTCTATAATTGTCGCTAATTGCTCGTATTGACTCGAGGGAAAGTATCAACGCCTAATAGTCATATAGACATTAACATGATGTAATTGTCTTTATTTGTTGACTCGCAGATTATCCTATTCCAATAATTATTAATTACTAATTAATTATTCTATTAATATTCTATTCTTATTGTATTAATATACAATGAATTACAAATGAATTATTCCAACATATAACAAAATATGTACCTAAATTTCTACGCAAATAAATGAACAAATGTTTTCCCTATTTTAACTTCTTCTCATTGTTTTATGAATCGATGAATCTCACTTTCGAAAGATTCAATAGTGGAGGTTAATCGTGGAAAGGTTCTATTCTCAATCGAAATTAATAACAATGTTTTACGATAGTTTTTTTTTAAATATATCTCTTTGTCCATTATTCTTTCTATTCCAAATTCGTGCCTTTTTCTCGGTAACAAGTGATTACTCAATTCTTTGCATAGTTAACAAAATAGCAGTATACTTGAGAGTAATGAAGAAGCATAGGTTTGATGAATTTTCTTAAGCAAAATTGACAATAAAATTTCGTGGTATATTTATGTGGACGTATTGCGTGTGTAATAGAACCGAGGGATATAGAGTAGAACGTAACTCAGCATCAGAGTTGACCGGCGAAGCCGAAGCTGAAGCCGTAGCCAAAGCCAGAGCTAGCTTCGCTTGCCGTTCCTGTATTTCAGTAATCCCGGGCAACACGAACTCACCGAATACCCCTATAGATATCCCATACGGAGCTGCGCCATAGCCGTTCCACTTGCTAGTTACTTTGAGGTTGAACAACCCGACCTCCTCCCTCTTCAGCTTCACAGCGTTCTCCTGTCCGCTCGGATGCGATAGCATCTTAATCGTGCTAATTCGCGCCCACCCATCACCGGCTGACATTCCCTGTACTGTGAGCTGTAGTTGGTAAACGGAGCTTATACTCCCAGCATGCTGTCACATTTAATAAAGAGACTTAATAAGGAATCTATTGACCGTCTTGCTTTTCAATTAACACCAAATTAATGCCCTACGAAAGATCAAGAATACGTTTTCGTTTTTCCATAATTCCAAATTATCTATCCATTTGTATCCCATATCTATGCATATTTTGATTCCAGCAAGTTATAACCTGTTGCCACAGCAATAATAATCAAACATGTGAAGGACCTACGCATTCGTGCAATATTTTCCATTTGTCATTAAACCAATTATTTATCTAAGTAATGGCCACCATTAATTAAATATTTGAGTAGTTAAGAAATAAATATCTGTGATGTACATTAATTTTA